GGTATCACATAGGGTTAACTAGTCCTGTTTCAGCTGATTTGGTTAGCCGGGTATCACACAGGGTTAACTAGTCCTATGTCTTGCAATCCACAAAGAGAAGGCATTGTCCTTAATGGGCAACACTTTTTTCATATAAGATACAAAGAAGAGTTTTGTTTTGGAACCTCACTTGAACCTCTCTTCTATGCATAATCCATCTAAGTAGGGAAGAAATTTCTCCTGAGAATTTACCTTCATCACCACGAGGTTGCTGGGGAAACATGTAGTTGGTCAATACTCTTTGCTTTGTTTCTGGATGGGCTTCGGTTTGTAAAGGGATAAGGGCTTTGGACTGGAAAAAAAGAGCGTAAACTACATTAATAGAATTGCAAATATGAGGAATATTTATTTTATATAAGATAATAGTCAATAGTCTGGTCTCAGATGAATGAACATTTGATAGAAAAGTGAAGAAAAAGGAAAGAAATGTATAACATTAAATAAGACGATTGCTAAGGAATATTTTCAAATTCTAAAATTTTCATAATACAACTTTCTTCCTTAGTACACTCTCCTGCACAACTTACCAAAATCCATTCAACAGAGCAACGCCAGCTTTAATCCTGGAGAGCAAAATGTGTTAAATTGTTTTAACTAATTCAGTTTTTGGTATGGTTCTGTATGCCTATTCATTTTTATGAACTATTGCCCTAGAAAGACATATGGAATTTGTTAGTAAATTCCTGCTATAAGATTATCCATGAGTTTAGTCAGGTTAAAAAAGCATTCATTTGTTTCTGAGATATGTGTGTATGTGCATATATATACATATATGTACCTTGTCTACATATATATGTATTTTTTTTTTCTAGACAAGATCTCACTCTGTTGCTGGGCTGGAGTGCAGTGGTATCATAGCTCACAGCAACCTCAGGGTCTGAGGCGCAAGTAATCCTTGTGCCTCCATCTCCCAAGTAGCCAGGTCTGCAGATGCACACCTCCATGCCTGCATATTTTGTATTTTCTGTAGAGATGGAGTCTTGCTATGGTGCTCAGGCTGGTCTTGAACTCCTGGCCCCAAGGGATCCTCCTGCTTCAGCCTACTAAAATGCTGGGGTTACAGGCACATGCACTGTTCCTGGCCTTCTAAGAGACATTGTTATAATCAAAGACAGAGTCCCTATTGCAGATAAGTAACCACACTTTGTATCTGTTAAATCATAACATAGTTACTTATGGCCATATTTTGTTCTCTTTTATTAATTTGATTTAAGAAATACTATTTTGAAGGGTTTTTCTTAGGACTCTGATATGGCATGCCAGAAATGATTGAAAATGATCTTATGATTTAATATACTACAATATGCTACTTCATGAGACTTAATCATAGGGTGTGAAGCACAAAGGGGATTTAGGATACGTAAGTTTGTGTCCTGAAACTGAATCAGAGACATATTAAATTGGGGTTCTAAACAGAAGTTAAATGATGCAGTCACCATGGTATTCATTCTCCCACAAGAATAAGAAACCATGTTATTAGGGGACATTCTCCGTAATGCGAGGCTGTAAAATAGACTGCTACACTAGCATAGTTCACACTAATTCCAGAAACTACTTATTCATAATGATATGCTGATGCTTTGAAAAATCTATAGTTTATTGATAATATTTTAATTTAATCAAAGTCTAATATATATATTTTTTATTCAGTAGATAGAAGCAAATGTCCTATTAACTGCAGGAACACAAACATTATTCTTAACATTTTACATTTTGTGGAGGTTATTTTTAAATTTTTAGTAAAAAGTAGCCTACTAGCAAGAAGTCTGAACAATTTGCTTACAGATGATGCTACTTTTATACTTAGAAAATAATGACGAACCGAATTCAAGATGGATTGTTGTCATCTGGTCATTCACAGTTTGGAATCGGTGCTTCAGAATTTTAGGATCACATGAGAACAGAGGACTAATAAACTAATAAGCTGTATCAAAATGGTCTGTCACCAGTTCTTCAGGTGACAAATCAGATGTCTTCAATTGTTTCTTGTTATTTTCCAGTTAATATAATTATTCATTAACACCCAGTTAATCAATTGATTATACTTTGTTTTCAAGATATAAAGTATAATATCAAAACAATTTGACAGAAAATATTAGTAGCTGCCAAAAGATAACCTGCAAATTTCTCAAATAAAGCTTTTGAATTAAGTTGATTATAATTAAAGCATGAGAATAAAAAGGCTAATTCCCCCTTGTGGTAATGGATGTTTATTCTTTACTTTCAGAGATTAAATTACGTCCTTCAAGGACATACGTGTACCACCGAGAGCTAAAAAGCTGTAAAAACAATCATGTTGTGCATTAGATCTCTGAGAAGGAAGGAGGTATTAGATAGAAGTATTTAAGGAAGGCAGGGGTTATAGGACTGTTTTGTCTATGGGAATATCTGAATTGCTATCTTTACAAAAATCTCTCCTCTAAAGAATAAAGAACCTATATTTTGTAGTGATTATCAAAGATGTCTATTAGGAATAAGTTAGGCATCCAAAGTTTCAAGTATAGGTCATCTTAACAAACAAACTAACTCCGGTAATCCAAGTTCTTACCTGATTGTCAGAGAGCCATAGAGCTGCAAGCTCCTTAAGTTTGGTGAAAGAGAACGGTAAGTTCTTCAATCTGCAAAAATAAGAAAATTCTAATAGCATGGGTGAAGGTGGATGAAGTTCATGTCTAAGGAGATTTATGAACAGTACTGTAGCTGGTTGATATCTCCTTTTTCTCTCCAATCCTTTCTCCATTGAGCAGCCTGAACCATACTTAAAAAATGAAAATCTTCTATTCACAACACTGCAAATACTTCCCATTGCATCTGGATAAAAATAAAAAAATATTATAACATGCACTGTCACGGTGTAAAAGCTCTGGCCCCTAAAGCCCCTCCTGAAGTTTCTTCTGCAGCTCTTTTCCTGACTTACTGATTTGCGCCACTGGGGCTCTCTGAGCACCGACCTTCCTCTGTCTGGAACACTCTTCCTCCCGTCCTTCACCCGACTAAATCCCACACACCCTTTCATTTGCTCTTAAATGCAGTTTTTTCTCAAAAAGGATTTTCTTTACTCTCTATTTAAATTACTTTCCTCGATCTAGTGTCAACACACCTTTTCCTTCGTGGAATATGTTCTAGTTTTTACTGATATAGTCACAGTATTTTTGTGAATATTTGCTTCATCTGGAGGACTCCATGAAGGCACGTGGCCGTGCCTACCTTACTACTAAAGACATTTACAGCTCCACTGTCAGGCTGCCCTTCAGAACGTGTGTTCTTTTATTCTTTCATCCTTTGTACACTGTGTCATAGATGTTCAAAGAGGTGATTTTTTCTCTTTTGAGAGTGAGCCTTGCTCGGTGTCTCAGGCTGGAGTGCCATGGTGGAACCAGCTTAGCTCACAGCAACCTCCAACTCCTGGGCTCAAGTGATGCTCTTGTCACTGCCTCCTGAATAGCTGGGACTACAGGCGCCTGTCATCATGTCAGCTTATTTTCCTATTTTTAGTAGAGATGGGGTCTTGCTCCTGCTCAGCCTGCTCTTGAACTCTGAGAGGCATCCTCAGCCTTCCAGAGTGCTCGGATTCAGGCTTGAGCCACTACGCTGGGCTTCAAAGAGGAAATCCTTAGAAACAGCACTATTGAGGTATGTAAAGTTGGACATCAGCCTTGGTATTCAATCCAAATTAGGTAGTTATCTCTGTTTCAGCCTTTGGAAGGCCAACCTGCTAACTGCCTGCTTTAACGTATTATCTGAATTCCTGAAACTGTGCGTGATCAACCACAAATTGTGATCACATAGGTTACCAATCAGGTAATCGGCAAAGTGAGTACTGCCAACAAGGCGTGATGATGAGATTTATTCCCAACTTCTGGATGGTCACTTTTGAATACACATGATGTCATTTGGAATAAAATATTCAAGTCATTAATATGTTGGAATTTTATTAACCAACTGAGGAATAAATTTATTTTGATAATGGACAATGTTAACACCAGTTAATAAGCATCGTGGACACAGTTAATCTTATGTGCAAAAGCAGATATACTCTCAAAAAATTAGATAAATATGCAAAGAGATTGACAGCCAAGACAAGTGTTAAGAATGTGCATTAGATAGATAGAATGAATTTAATTTAGGATGACTATCATTACCTTTCTGCGCTAATAAATATTTGTAAAACTTAAACAAGAATACAAATAACATATTAAATTATTATAATTCTTTTATTACAGAATTATTAGTTGTGCTATCATTCATAACTTTAAGCCAAATTAGCTATAAAAGTTATTTCTGATTTGAAGTTATTCAAATTCATTTCAGCCAGAAATTTTGGTGTAGGGTCTCATTGGAGGAATTTTTCACATCCCATAGGGACTAATTGAAAGCAGAATGCCAATTCTGCTGCATGAAAATTACACGAGGGAAAAACTCTCTAGAATAACATACAACAATGTTCACGTCATTATCCGTCCCTTCATAAAGGTAGAATATACAGAAAGAACCTGCTAGAGAAAGATAACTTCCCCTCTTTTTTCTTGCGTTTCCAGTGACCCTGAGAAAAGTGAGTCTCTATTTAGTACATTGGCCATGGAAGAAGTCTTACAGCTGACATGGCAGAGAAATCATTGTTCCTAACTGTAATGTCTAACTTTAAAATCGGTTACATTTTAAACATGAAATTGTAGCAACTGCTGCTTCTGGATAACATTTCTTATCAGTCTTTTCTCATGTAGTTCATTCCCGAATGGTAATATTTAACTTTGGCCTCGGCTTTAGCTGAATATTGATTTTTTATACCTGTAGTTGATTCATTGATTCAATAATCTAAAAATATCAATTTGGCTCCACAGTACATTCCAGTCACTCTGCTAGGACATAAGTTGAACTGTATTTCTGGCAGGAGAAGGTATTTTAAACCTCTGAACATTGTGAGCTTTTCGGCCTCTTCTTCACACATTTTGTCCTGGTCCCCGGCAGTGTGTCTGGCCCCCGGAAGGTGCTTATATCTGCTGTATTCACCGAGGAACTCCAAAATATTAATAGAACTTCTAATGATAGGTCATTTGTAATATTTGATAAGTATATTTTCTATATAATCATGCACATTATTAATGTGTAAAATTTGAACAGACCAAGAATTTAGGAAAGACGCCTGTAGCTCGTCACAACAACCTTTTCCTAGGTAACGGTTTCACTGGGCTGTTGTAATTGAATCCAACAGGAATCCACCTTGCTGTGGTATCTCCCTGACCACACTTCCTAATCTTATTTACAAGAATATAGTCAGTGACTAGCAAAAGAGTGGGGAACAGCATTCAGTGCCCTGCCCTCATTTTCCATTCCGGCAACCCAGAAGGAAAAGGAAGCAGGTTGGTTTGACAAGACCCACGCTCGATGCACACAGCTTTGGTGCTTCTTATCATTCTGGTTTTATAAGTAACATTCTAAACCTTTAAACAGTTTTTTACTCTCTTATGTGGAAATATTATTAACGGCTATGTGAATCACGTTTGAAATTCAGTTTCAAATTCACAGTTTTCTTACACTAAGAAACAAAAGAGCACTCCCGTGCTCATCCTGTCCTCAGAATCTGAGCGTCTGACGATTCCAGAAAAGCTCACCGCTGTTCCATGGCAGGGCCGCCCGGTCCCCACACTATTACTTGTTTTACGAAACGTACTGAAAACATCGAGTCTGTGCACTATATTCTGTAATTATTCTATCTAGTTAGCAGTTCTCTCTAGTCAATATTTACTTTATCCTTTCTTATCTGAAGGCAGGTATCTCTTAGATGATAGATGTGAAGATGAATTGAGAAGTTTAATTTTCCTTCTTACTTTTCCCAGCACAATACCTTTGTCAGAAGACTTCTTACCCTTTCCTCTTGCTGCTGGACATGGCTAAATAGTTATATGGCTGTCCTGACCATAACGTTGAAACCTTATGGATTTTAAGTATTAACATACTAGCAATACTCTAGTGGGGGAGTTGAAAATACACACATGCCCAGTTAATTCATTGAGATATTAATGTAAACCTGAAGACACATATGTGTGCATACACATACATATATTTATTTATGTTTAATATACTTTTATTATAATTATCTTCCATCTCCTCTTATTATTATGCTTTCTGCATATGAGGGAGTTTTGGTGTGTAAATTTGGGTGATTCATATTTACATAATTTTAATCCATAGCATAATCTCTTATTTTGATTTAATCAAATAATCACAATTTAGAAATACTGGGTTTAATGAATAATTTAGCTTTTGGCATTTCCTAAATAAAGTACAGATAGCTGGCTTCTATATACTTCATAAGACAGAAAATGTTTTCAAAATTATAAACAAAACCCCATAATTTTCTTTCAGTAAATAACTAGTCAGTGTTTGTCTGATGAGGCAAAGATACCTGTTGTCGCTCAGATTTAAGACTCTGAGTTTCTGCATCTGTCCAATCTCTTCAGGAAGAAATTCCAGTTTATTGGATCGTAGAGACATAACTGTTACATTCTTACAACTTCCAATCTAAGGGTAACAAAAGAAAGTATGTAAAAAATTGCATTGTAATAGCATTTTAATATTCGTTTACCTAATTTATGAAGAAATTTAGTTAAGTCACAGTTTTCATTATCATTTTAAATTTCTTTTAGTAGTATGTGTTTTATTTATAACATTACTCTAAAAATATGTATATGTTATAAAATTCTTTTAAGGTAATTTTTACCTAATATTCTTTTACATATTAAAAATAAAATTTATTTATAATTATATTATTAAAAGACTCTTAACATCATTGTTTTCATAAATCATCTATCAAATGAATATTAATATATCTGTGTTTATAATAGAAGATTATACATACTCTGAAAAGAAAATATTATTGATATTTCCTTGGCAAAATTAGTTTTATCTCACAGAGTGGTATTTTCATCATTATTTGTAACTTTTGACCCTAAAATCATTATCAATGGATTATTTTTCCATCATTATGAAAGTGTTTAGTGGAAAATGTTAAACTGAAAAGGTACTTCACACTTTTTTCTTGACATCAACAAATAAAATCCCATTTAGAGATAAAATAGTAAATAAAATCTCATTTAGAGGTAAAAATTAACAGAATCTCTTGGATCTTGAAGTTGAAATAATATTATAACGTCACATGATCCCTTACAAAATATGTATAGTATACATTAAAAAGTGTGCTTTAGAAACACAAAGTACCCCACAAACGTTATTTATAACTGTTCTTAAAATGAAAATACATACATTAAATGATTTAAAATGGTATTCCTTATCATTGTTTAACTTAACAATATTTTATTACTTTTCTTTGCATGTAATGTTTAAGTCAAATGCATTTGCTGGATCAAATATAAGAGCTTGTCACTTGTCATTAAAAACAGAATGACTAACAAATACATTATTTAGATAATTCATATACGTATATTTACGCTCAGCTCATGACTCTGAACTGCTTCTGCACCTCTTAAGATTTTATTTCAAAACAGATTAATTGAAAGCTAGCCCAACAAAGTGACTATACTCAGCAACAAATTAGGGTATACTTCAATTAAGAGTGGAAGTGGACTGTTCCTAATAAGAAATGATAAATACCTGAGGTTTTTGATTTTCTAATTGTTCTGGTTTGAAAAAAAAATTTACCCTGCTTTGATAACTCACATCCTATGACGGAAACATCACATGTTCCCTATAAGGATATACAAGTATTATGCACCCATAATAATTGTTAAATAGTTAAATAATAATAGAAAACAAGTTTATTCCTCACTTCTCTGGGTAATTCTGGAAGGAAATTCTCGTCGACGGCCAGCGTGCGCAGACTATGGAGATAGCCAATGGTGGACGGCAGCGATTCCAGTTCATTACAGCTGCAGTCGAACTCTTCTAATAAAGATAAACTGGAAAGTTAAAATACTTAAGTTACGCATCATAAAAGGCTAGATGTGGCAAACAGTTTTGAAAAAAATCCACATATCCAATAGTCACTAAACAAATGTAATTTATGTGGAAACAGCAGAATATTTCATAAATTACTTTTTTTTTTTTTTGCAGTTTTGGCCAGGACCAGGCTTGAACCTACCACCTCCGGTGTATAGAGCCAGCGCTCTACCCTTTGAGCCACAGGCACTGTTCTCATAAATTACTTTTTTTATCAGTAAGTCAAATGGTTCAATCCATCAAATGAGTGGTTTACTTGGTAAAATAATTATAGCTTGCTTTTCCTGCTTCTGTATTCACCTATCACTTAACAAATGACAGAAGGATTCTTTGTTGGTTCATTTGTTTACAATTTAGGTGTCCTTCTTAGCCAGATTCTTAGCCAGATGTTCAGAATGTATATCCTTCGGTGGGCAGAAGGGTGGAGAGGGAAGATTCAAGGGAAAAAAACAACAAAAACAAAACAATAATGAAAAGCCAGGTATTTTACTAAGGATGTTAGAGATTAAAGGGAAAAAACGAATCTCTTCCTTATGAAAATTCTTGAAGATATCTGCTATGTTAAAACCTATTTTACAGATAAGAAGGATGAGGCTTAAAGAAGGTATGGAACTTGCTCCAGGCCACAGGAAGTAGCCAAGCTGGGCATCAGTGCAGACTGTGGGGCTTCCCCAGTTCTCCTGCCTCTCAGCACAGCACCTGGGGCAGAGCTGTGCACAGGTGTCACTTCAGCCCACAGACCTGTTCTGTTTGGTTTATAGAGTGACATTTTAACAAGTACTGAATTATTTAAGTATCTAAAATTTTACATAATGACCCAGATTTTTGGTGCCTGGAGGACGATCTGCATTATGGAGAAGGTGGAATGTCTTCCCGAATCAAGTACCATTATCCACGGTCAGGAAAACAATCTAATCAATTAGACCCAGCCCGACTGACCAGGGGCACTCCAGGTTCATGGTCTTCACAGGTTCAGTAGGTTAGAACCAGTTGTGGGGAAACACAGCACTGAGTTTTGAACAAGACTTCCGGGACAGTCCTGCTTAAGTGAAACAATCTCCTTTTATGCAGACAAGTCATGTAACTTCTCTTAAAGCCTCAGATGCTTTGTATTTGAAACCAGGATGCTATTACATCGATAATGATTCCTGCCGCATGAATTTGATCTGAGTATTTCATGAAATGAAGGTAAAAAACTTAGCTCAATACCTGTTATAAACTGCATGGTCAGTAAATTCTTTTCTCCATTATTAGTGACCCTGGTTAAATTTGTTCCTAAATCCTTTCCAGCCCCCCAAGCAGGGATGATCTGCACAAATGTATGGCTCTGTGTGTATGTGTGTGGGGTGGGGGGAGAAAACCATGTATATGAGAAACCAGTAACAATGTCGGTCCAAAAAAAAAAAAAAAGATCTAGCAATGTGCTTTATACATATGAGGTACCTAACAATTATTGAATTGCATTGAAAGGCTTCTTTCAATAGTTTGAGCCAGGTACGCAGTGAGCAACAAATAAGTATTAGGATTTTTTAAAAAATAAAAGTGTATGTTTAGCGGTAGAAGTTAAAGATGGGCCAATTAAATTACTAAATATGAAGAATTATTTAAAAAATGTGTGACTCAACCATCACATATGTTGAGCGGCGTCTGTACATAGTTCAATGAAGAGCTTGGCATTGAAATCTGGTAACTTCTCCTGGCCTTAGTTTTTGTATCTGTTGATGGGGAGAAAATACTTATCAAATAGTGCTAATGAGAGCTTTAAATAAAATGATGCTTGTGAAAAAGAGCAACAGATATGGTGCCTGGAACACTGTGAGTACAAAAAAGTTATTCATTATTTTTTCTAGTTGGCATTCAACTCTTAGAGTTGCTCAAAACTCCTAGGCATATATTGAGGATCGGCAAAAAGCCAATTAATTTTACAAGTCACTTGGCACAAATCATGGATTCTTTCAACTATGAAAAATGTTGAAAAATGAATTCTTCCAGGAGTTGGAAAGATAATGTAAAATATTGAACTATTCCATGAACATAATAAGGAGATTTGGGGACACTGTGCTTGTCCTGACCATTTCTAGGATTTCAACGCCAAGAGGTAAAGGTAGACTATTTCATAAAAAAATATGTTATGTGACAATTTATAAAATACTTTCTGTATACATAGGTACGACTTGGGTACCATTTAACAGGATCATAATCAAATTCCTCTCCAGCCTTTGAACTAGTAATGCTAAATTCCCTAAGGTAAGCAAAGTCCTACTATTCCTGTTCTTTCATTTTCACACAGATCCCTTAACATACATAATAAAACTTTAGAAATGTACTGTTTTTCATTTCCATTGGTGTAGATACAAAACACCTATGTGCAGATAGCTATCTTGAAGTGAGAATATAAGTTAGGCAATAGTTATTATAATTTTATTACCCAAACCATGACATGCGACAGAGTAAAATTATCAAGTCTTTTGGTCTTGGGCCCTTTCATCCTCTTAAGAATCACTAATAGCCCTAGAAAACTTTTGCTTATATGGGTTATATGTATTGGAATCTATTATATTACAAATTAAACCAGGAACTAACATAATAATTATTCATTCATTCTTAAATAATAAACACATTACATGTTAATGTAACACATCTTTATAAAAAATATCCATATATTCAGAAACAAAAATCTTTCGTGAGAGGAGTGACATTGTTTTATTTCCCATATACCCACTAGTGCTTTTTTATTTAACTTTGCTTTTTCTTATTAATCTATTTCTCCAACACTTCACTTGTATTTTCCCTAAAACAATAATGAAAGGAAGATAATAGCACTAAAATGGATTTAAATGAGATTTTATTATGGAATTCTTAATCTTTATACCTTTAAACCAGTAATCCACCTTTAAATGAAGTAGACTCATTTATCTTTGATAAATATTTTCCCTGCTTCTAAGGGAATTATAGTTTTTAAAAAATTAAAATAAAAAGAAAACTAAGTCTATGACTAACTCAGCATCCCTGCTGGCTTGCGGGATTTCCTCCTCATCCATTTTGTATTTTCCCGTTTAGCGGACTTGCAGGTGCACAGGCGTTAGGCTTCCGCGCAGGCGCATAGGCGTCCTGAACAAGCCTGACACTCGCTGCAGATATCACTGATGCTGAGGGGCTCAGCCTCCTGCTGAGGACATTGATTAATCCAGAACCAAGGAATCAAATATCGAGAGTCAACTGGGATCTACTGTTCATAATTTTCAGAAACTTTATGCAACTCTGGAGATGGGATGCAAAAGCTGTCTTAATGGAAGTGTGGCATTTATGAGACAGAATAAAAGAATGAAATGATAATAAACGATTATAAATTGTGAAAAGTGCCACAGAGGAAACAAAACAGAACTTGACAGAGAAACTCGCTGGAGGTCAGGCTGGTGGAAGGGCACGGGGGTGGGGGGGGACTCACCCTGGGGGAAGGACCTCAGTCCAGACCGAGAGGCTGTCACCCTCAGTGTGGACCGTGAACCCAGGGCACTTCTGATGTCACCTGGGAGCTGTGACAAACACAGGCCCTCGGCTCCCGAAGTCCCAGACACACTGGATCAGAATCCGAATGAGGGCACCTTGAAGGGTCCGAGTGTGGACCTAGGGGATGTGAAGGGTCTCTTACGGAGACTGGGGAAAGAACATTTCAGGTAAAGGTAACAAGTAGGAAATTCCCGAGACAGGTCAGCACTGCTGAAGCGTAGGAAGCAAGATGAGTGACAGCATTATTAAACGGCGACGTAGTTACGGTCAGGTGTGGCTTATTGATAAGGACACATTCGAAGAAACGCGCTGCCAGGCAGTATCATCACCGCATGAGCCTGGTGGCAGAGCACAGCTGGACAGCATGGGGCAGAGTCATCAGCAATCACAGCTGGACAGCATGGGGCAGAGTCATCACCAAGCACAGCTGGACGCCGGCAGCCCCCAGCACACCTGGGCGGCATGGCACTGTCCCCTCCCCCACACTTGGGCAGCACGGCCATGTCCCCCTCCAACACCTGGGCAGCACAGCCCTGTCCCCAGTGCTGCAGGCAGCTGTCACACATGACAAGGAACTGCGCATCTAAATATATGGGCCATTACAAAAGTTTTGAGATAACATAAAAATCAAGAAACATAAAATCCGTGGGGACAGAGACCAATGACGCCCTCCCAGCAGCGCCGATAATCCGAGCAAGTTGAAATCTCACGGCGATTCAGAAAGGCTGCCGTCGGCATGTTTCTTGGAAGTGAAATAATGGACCACTGCACAGTCTGTCTCAAAACTTTTGTAGTGACCCATGTATAGCTAACACAGAGAAAGGTAGAGTGAAAATGCCACTGTCCTTGCCCGGTCTGTCCTTGTCTGAAATGTTGTTATGTGGTGCGAGGCTGTGCGTCCCTCGCCATCAGCCCGTGTGAACTGTTACGCGCTTTGGGACACAAGTTCTCAACTGGGTAACACTTTATCTTTGGTTCCATTCTGGCAACGTCTCCGCCGTAATTAGCAGAGAAACAAAATGTGTGGACGTGTGTGTTCCGGGAAGGCCCATAAGGCCGAACTGAAAACGCTTCCTTACTCTGAAGCCATTCCTGGGGTGGAGAGTCCAGAGCTAGTGTGGGGAGCCGGGGCTTTCAGGGTTCCTGGGACTGCAGTGAGGACAGCGATGTGCCAGCGAGCCTGGAAAGACGGGCAGGGCTGCACCTGCTGGGCCGGTACACCTGGATTCTCGGGTGCTCTGCTCCTCAAGTAGCTACATCCCCACTTCAGGCAATTTTTAAATTTATTTATTTTTTAAGAAACATTTCTCTAAGATGGAGACCCCAAATTTCTTCTTGCCTTTGTGCTGTGAATTGGAGTTCCACATTATGTTGGTCACTGCTTGTCAGTCCCGTTCTAGGTGATGCCCAGAACCGGCAGAGTCGTAAGTGCCCAGGACGCTGCATATTGATTTTGAGCGGATCCCTCCGTCCACACAGCGAGGCTTTGCTTCCGCGGCTTTTGTGCCCAGCTCCTTTGTGGCATTGGCTAAACTTGATTATGGTCCAGGAGAGAAGTGATTTCTTCCCATTCCCACAAGAATCTCCTTAAGTTCTACTGGGACTTTCAACAGAGCCTCCACCCTGCCCCTCTCCTTTTAAATATTCTTTTGTCACATGGCCTAAGTCTTTCTTCTGGGTTGTGACATCTGAGAATTTAATATGAGCAGCTTTCAACAGAAGCCACACTGTCCTGCTTTCTCGGGATTCCCAGATGCTCTAATTCCTGGTCACTCACCCCACTCTTCTGGAATAAGTGTGTGGCCTGAGCAACGGTAAAATCCTGACATCCAACTGATGTTTCTAAATCTGTTCCTTTTGAACACAGTAGTAAAAAAGTTTATAGTAGTAAGTATTTTATATTAGGTTACTATTTGAATAGCTTAGCTTTCTCCAAATAATGCAACTACCAGGAAGATTTCAAGAACGTGACTCAATGCTGGTGCCGGTGTAGGAACCAGGACTGGTGTGGAGTCAGGCTGCAAGGTCCTTCTTGGCTGCTGGGGAGGAGGTGGGGACAGAGCTGGAGGTTGCCTATTCTCGAGGCCAAGTTCCCGAGGAAAGATCTCCCCCTGGTGAGAGACAGGAGCTCAAAGCACATACATCTCCAGTGTCTGTCACGGGCTAAGTCCAGACCCCAGAGACAGCAGAGGGGTCATCAAGAAGCCAGTGTTCTGGCTGAAAACCTCCAGTCTGCTGATGAAAGCTGGTTCTCAGCACAACCAAAGTCAGAGCTTTACTGCTGATTGAGGAAAGCAACTTTTCTTTGCCTATATTTGGGTGTTCAAGCCTCTTTAATTTGTCTTCAAAGAGCTAGGGTAATCAGTTTTATAAAAAATGTGCACATAAGTGCTAAAATGCCAGTCATGACCGTAGTAGGGATAGAGGGAGTTGAGTTCAGTTTCTCCTGAGAATTGACCTAAGGGAAGATTGGTATCTGAGAACATCAACAGGTCAGAAGAGATTCAAACAGCGTCAGATGGATGAGGCAATGACTTTTGTGTAACCCCAGTAGAGTAAAGCTCTCTGCTCTCTCTGCTGGAGAAAATGGAAGTGACAACACAGAGAACCATCCTGCAGGGTGTGGGCATTAAATCACAAAAGTGGTTGAGACTTTACTATTCTCCCGAGTCTGAACACATGAATTTGAATTTTGTCTAATAGTTCTACTCTATAAAAGTGGTGCTTTCTAGAGACTGGCTACTTGCTGACCTGGTGGGGATGGAGAGGAAGCCGGCTGAGGGAGGGGGAGGCCGAGGGATGTGTTGCCGTCTTGATTGCAGTGGAGAGGGCTCAGGCCTTTCCCTGTGCCCAAACTTACCAAACAATGGGCTTTCAAAGTGTGCAGTTTGTTGTACGTCAATTATAGCTCATAAAGCTGTCTAGAAAAAAAGAAGCTTTCCCCTTGAATATATCTATCTATCTATCTATCTATCTATCTATCTATCTATAGATAGATATATCCCAATTTGTTAAATTAAGGATTTATATAATTTTTTTCACATTGAGATATGGAGCAAGTTCCTGACAAATAGCCTTAAGAAATTTTAGGATGAAGACAATTTAAACTGATTTCTCACTTTACACAGATTGTAAAAAAAAGTGTTTTCATGAAATGTTGATAACACATATCCCTTAAAGAAATGTAATCCAAATGTCGATGGCAGTATAAAATTAGGAATTAAGTTGCTATCAAATAAATAGAGTATAGTTTACCTTAATAGGCAACACTGGACTTTAATCTTGAAGTTTTAAAATATGTTTGCTAAAGCAGATGCTTTTCTCTTTAGCTTCTGTAACTATATTAAACTTCCACAAATACCTTAAGTTTCTATAAATATCAAGAATTACTAATAGCATAATGGTAGCACATACATACTGCAGGGCCTTATCAAACTTAGTTTGATTTTGCAGAAATATTCAAGTGAATTTAGAGCTGTTACTCAGTCCAAAACATCAAGTTAACAATATCGGCAAAGTATCAGCAAGAGGGTAACTGAAGGTGTGGGTGATCACTTTGCTTATGAAATCTGGTCTAAAGGGCATTGAAAAATGAACAAGATTATTAGTATCTTCAGGAGAAACTGTTTTCAAGCTGAAAACTCAATTGGTCCTCTGATTTCTGACTTCAGAGAGGCTGACTGGTACAGAACGTAGCACTTACTTTCCGATTGTATTGGGCAGCATGGTGAGCTGGTTGTCGTCCACTTTTAGAGTAGTTAGTTTTTTCAGCAGTCCTAAAAACAGAGAAGAAGGTTGATTAATACATAAAAGTGTATTTATGACAGGAAATGTGACGTCAAGGGAATCGGATGAGTCACTGTGATGAATGCTGCCTGTTAACTGGCTCTCCTCTGCCTATAATATAAACCCACAGACTGAGGTTTATGTACAATCTATTTTTGACCTTCTGGTTGCAAAAACTTTGCTTCCTCCAGTGGGAGTCCAGGACACCAGCAAGTCCCTCAGTGGGAGTCCAGGACACCAGCAAGTCCCTCAGTGGGAGTCCAGGACACCAGCAAGTCCCTCAGTGGGAGTTCAGACACCAGCACACAGAAGTCAAAAAGACCAGGCTGCACACACACCTGGTACGTTTCCCTCTTTCATTCTTTAGCACATGGACTGGTTGAAATGTTCAAAGCCAGCTGTGATTTAACATGTAATTAACTCCTGAGTACTAATAACCGACGTTTCTGTTGGGATATAAACTGAAAGCAAATCCGAATTGAGGCTAATAATTAGCAAATGAACACGGAGGCATCGGAGGGCGGCAGCCGTGATTACGCCTGTGGAAAGCTACCACAGACGACCTCATGCTCTTTCTGGTATTACAAATCCTTGGCTTGGATCGGCAGGAAGCACGAAAACTTTGCTTGTTCCTGCACCGAGCAGAACTGGGCATGAATTGGAGCTGCAACGCTTTATCGTCCCTGTCTGATTCATGTATGCCCTCTGGTGCCTGTAGCTTGCTGTCCTCCCAGGGTGGGACTGAAGAGCAGGGACTTCTCTCCTTGCTGACTTTGCGGCTCAGGTTGCATTCCAAGGGGACGCTCTGAGCAGATTCTTCCATGAAACGTCTTTGTTTCTGAAGTGGAACGAGGTCTCCAGCCTAACCCTCATCTCTCATGCCTTCCTCTGGCAGGTAATTCCTTCACTACATGTCTACGGGGTAGCAGCTCTGCAGAAACAGAAGATGTTTGCCCTGTTCTTTTTCTCTCCTGTGCCTTTCTCCAATGCCCCACCCCTTATCCTCTACTCCCATCTAAGAAGCACTGGACAGAAAGAAAAAGGAGACTTTTTACCATAATTTTAGCTATATACATATAAATATATAATTAGTATTGATGTATTAATCATTAATACATTTTTTTATTAAAGTAATTTTTAAATATATTAAATATATTAAACTAATATATTTTTTATTAAAGTAATATTCATGTGATACTTACATATTTGCGATAGAACTTTGAAAACAAATAGTTGTATACTCATCAAATCTAAGATTATAATTAGATTATTATAATAGTTGCTTTACTTTATGTCAGGTAGTATTGTAAGAAATTTCACACATATTAATTCATTTATTCTTCAAAATAATCTCATGATGCAAGTACTATCACTACCCTCACTTTATATGAAACATTGATGAGACTGAGACACAGAGAAAATAAGTAATTTTTCTAAGGTCACACAACGATTAAGGTAAAAAGCCCAGGATTTGAACTCTAGTAATCTGACTAAAAACTTGTGCCCTTAACTGGGAACTGAATAAGATAAGTTATTTTGAAAGTAAAACATTATATTTTTCTTATGAAGTTTCTCTGTTATCTAAACAAGCTGTATATGATGCACTCTTGACTAAATGCACACTCACATTTTTTTCTGCCCAAACTTTCAGGACAAAAATCTTTCACTTTAATTATTTAATACAAATTTGTACTTGTTTAAATTTAGGTAGTTGTTTTTTGTATTATAAAGGAATTTTAGCATTTTTAAAAACAGTTTTAAATGTATAAGCATTTTAAATGCCTAAGCATAAATAAACGAATTTAAAACACACAGATGTGCAGAATTAATACCGCCCATGTATAATGTGCATCTTTATTTTAATTGCAAAAATTTGGATGAAAATGTGCATTATACATGGCAAAATACAGTATTAAAACCCTATTTAGAAGAGGAAAAGAATCCAGTGGCAAAATACAGTATTAAAAGTGTTTCAAAGAGGAAAAGAATCCCTTCGATTTCCCTGGAACCAGGGCAAGGAAAGTGATTCAGTGATTCAGCACGGGGGACTTGTTGGGCATACCTCTCCATCTGAACACCCCACGAGTGACTTGTTGGGCACACCTCTCCATCTGAACACCCATGGGGACTTGTTGGGTACACCTCTCCATCTGAACACCCCATGGGGGACTTGTTGGGCACACCTCTCCATCTGAACACCCATGGGGGACTTGTTGGGTACACCTCTCCATCTGAACACCCCATGGGGACTTGTTGGGCACACCTCTCCATCTGAACACCCCATGGGGACTTGTTGGGCA